TGGGCTAGCTTTGACTGAGCAGGGAAGCATGCTGTAGAACCCCCGGTTTCTGGCCTGAGCCACTCCAGGTATGACTGCATTTTCAGAATCAGAAGTGAATGTCAGTTCACTTGCTTTTGGTTCAATCTACGCAGCTTAGACTAACTTGCAAATATTGAATTGATTCAGCCTTAGGCTTTTTCATTGTCTGTACTTAGCCTATATTGCTGTGTCTGGACATGTGTGGACATTTGGTTCCCCAGGGACAACTAGTGGTGGCACATGTTGTGCTGCTGCTAGTTGTCCCCAGGGAATGCCTGTGCCACACACTCGCTGGTGTGCGGCAAGTTACCCCAGGGAGGGTAGGGGAGGCTGGGGCCTCTGGGGACTGTAGCAGTGGCAATCCTGCCATGCAGAGCCTGGTCAGGAGCAAAGCTAGCCAGGTCCCAGCTTTGGGAGGCACATGGTGCCCCGACATGTGCTGCTCCTCTATTTTTTCCATGGGTTTTTTTGACCCCTGGATATCCAGGGGTCCAGAAACCCTTCTGTGCTGCTCCCTTGCAGCATGGAGAACAACTGAACATACAATATGTGGCACCGCAGAAGTGTCTGTGGCACCACATACCAGATGACTGCAGTCATTTGGACATGGCCTATGGGTACTTAAACTGGTTTATATTTGGACTTGGCTGTAGTGCAGTGCAAAACAGTCAACAAACAGGATCCAGTCCCTGAAGTGATTTTATTGTGGTGGCAGAACAAGGCACTGACATTAGGACTGTGCAAAGCTTCGGTAGCTGATTCAATTCAGCAGAAATTCAGCTTGATTCGGTGGCCAAATTTCCAAATCCAGATTGAATCAGGAGACCCTGTAATCTCTCCGAATCAAATCAGAACCCTTCGAATTAATTTGGAGAGATTCAGAAAGATTCGATGATTCGTACATAGACACAACATTAAATGTTTTTTCTACATACCTCAAGGTACCAGGAGACTCATGAATGCTGAGATGCTGGGCCGAATGAAGTGCCCCATGGGAGCACAGGGAGTCCCCAGTGTGCTCAGCAGTGGACCCGGAAGTGGATCAGAAGCACTTCTGGTCCACTTCCGGGTCTGCCAGGGAGTGTGCGGGGGTCCCCCTCCACCCACCAGCTTGGTGACTGGTGCCTCCTGGGTCTGGGGGGGAACCTGGTATCCCCCCACAGCAGACTTCCAAGCCAGGGGGTGCAGAGGGGGTCCCCCACGCACTTGGTGGCGGATCCAGAAGTGGATGAGAAGTACTTCTGGTCCACTTCCAGGTTCACTGCCAAGCATACAGGGAGCCCCCGCCCATGCTCCTGTGGGATGCTCCGTCCACCCCACCATCTCAGTGTTCATGAGCTGTGCCTGGTACCTCAAGTTATGTGGAAAAAACATTTAAAGCTGTGTCTGTGGCCGAATTGCTGATTCTCCACATCAGCATCATATCTTCAGATTCAGATTCAGCTGAATCAAATCAGGACAGTGACCCGAATCAATTAAGCAAATTACTGTTCCTAGTTTGGGCCAAATCTGAATCCAAATCGAATATGGCCTGTTTCGCACACCCCTAACTGACATAGCTAAAAAGAGAGAACCTAAGAGTCCTGTTCGTGGTCAACTGTTCTAACCATTTCATAGGATCATAGGAAAGGAGGGCTGGAAGGGACCTTACAAGTCTCTCCTCAGTGCTGAGATTAGGAATTTGTCCTTTGAAAAAATGATAAACATGGAGAGAAGGAATACATTTAAATACATAGAGTAACAGGCAAGATGAAGAAGGGAAGCTCTATGTATAGTTTGTTTTTGCATATTTGTCTTTCATTTTTCTTTAGTCCCAATATTATTTCAGTAGTGCCTGATAAAGAGAGGGTGTGTTTACATGCGTTAATATTGAAACATTTATGCCTGTTGTTAGTTATACATCATTTAGGGCTGTGATCATAAATTGTTCAATCACAAGGTTTAGTCAAAGCTAGCATTCTTTACTGATGTCTTTTCCCAAGGGTCTTGAAAATTTGATTGTTCAAAGTGCAAATATGGTTTAGCAATCCTTTCCAAGAATCATTTATCAGAAATCCTAAGGAGGTAATATATAAAAGTGGGATAGGAAACCTGCATATTAAATGGGATTTACCAGCCAAAGCCTTTGGAACTGCTTTCCTGTGAATGACTGGAATGGAGCAGAACAAAGTCAATTATTGACTGTAATTAAGAAGTGGATGCATTTAAACTGTAGAGAGCAGTAGCAGTCTTTTTGAAACTGTCTAGTAACTCTGAAGATTAGTCTGAAGAAAGAGAGAAAAGGACATGAACTATATCTTACAGAGAGTATATGTTAGATTAATTCTCTTCCTCCTATTCTATGATGTAGGTTTTTTTTACTAATTTATTCATAAATCACTGATAATATATGATTATTACAATAACACATTCAGACAAAGAAACTTTCAAAATGTATTTCTCTTTGGTCTTGTTAGCAATGAAGTATCTCTTTTGCATATCATACAGTACAAATGTTTATGTAAGGCAAAAATACTTGTATTTTAATAAAGCCTGAATTTACTGAACGGAAGACTGAACTATGTTGTGTCCTTCTTAAGCCTTCAAAATACAGTAAATCTAATTATGTATGTTGCTCTTACTTTGAAAATGTTATTCCTTTTCATAATTTTAATAATGATTTGTTTATACTGGAAGAGATGTATTATATTGGATTGTCCTCTGTGTTTAGTCTAATTCATTTTCTGCATGTGTACATTAATAAAATGTAATGTTATATAAAACTTTTAGTGTGAATCAGGAAAAGATTTAGAGGTCAGGTCTATTAACCAGTTACCTATCTTGATTTTGACTTTTCTGGGACAAGCATCTACTTGTTGGTAAATATACAAGTGGTTAACATAATTAGTCACTCACTCTGGGCTGATTATCAACTTCATTGTCCTACTGTATTTCCCCAACTCATTCTGAAAGTTCCCTACCTCCTTCATGTTCCTGATGGAATGAGCAGCAGGTCTATTCGCAGTGTCTGGGACTCCCAGTAGATCTTCATAGCATTATGTGCATGAGAGTTCTCTGACTTTGATCCATTCTTCATCCAGGGTTAAACTTGGAGTGGTTTTGTTACACTTGGGTCATTCTCAGCTTGACCACACATAACAATTAAAACCTAACAACTGCTGCCCTTTTAAAATGCTCTTTTGAAACATCTCCAAATGTACGTGTGTCCATACCCTATATGTGACTTACCTGCTTGTAAAGGTCTGTGTGTGTAGATGCTGCTGTAGATAATTACTTGAAATGATGTACTCCAAGGTGTTGTTCAACTATCGAATATTCAGACACTCAAGTTGTTATCCATGGCCTTCACTCAGTGCTTCCTCATGATTTAATCAGGCGAAAACAAAAAAACCCCTTTGAACTCAACATGATTCTTGCTTGAGAAAGACTTGAATAAGGGCCTCAGGGTTTGGCCAGGTATAATAAAGTATGAGGATTGTTTGAATGACTGACCTAATTTACAGATGTGTTCCACAAGCCCTATAATCTGACTAGTTAATGCCAAGTCATTCTGTAGTGTCAGTTGTAGCCCTGTTGGTCTAAGGACCTAGGCAGACAAGGTTCTTCGGGTAAATGTGATCTCACAATTCTAATCCTCAAAGGGAATTTAACAAAACACCTTTCATAGACAAGCCTATGAACTTCACTTCATTAATCTGCTAGATACAAAAAATCATGAACTAAACATAGACATTGGATTTATGGCACATTATAACCTGTCTGCCATCTGATAACCCCAGGTAACCTCTCTACATTTTACCACGTACATTCTGTCATCAGGGCAACGTTCCCCCTTTCTGTCCCCTACCTACCTGTCTCACACCTATTGTCTCCCATGGCCTCTGATCCTCATTGCCACCCATTTGCATTTTCACAGACCATCATTTTGCATATTGGTTTCTGTTCCATCCAAGAGAGCACAAAACAACAGCAGACTCTCCCTGTGCCTGAAGAAGGTTGTTTGTGCCCAAAAGCTTGCAAAGAACATTTTTTTCAACTGTATAGTTGGTCTAGTAAAAGATATCACATTTCCCCAAGGAACCTTGTCTGCCTAAGTCATTCTGAATGAAGACATGAGCATTTTTTTCTCCAAACATGCATCATTTCTGTGCACTGTACTACATTCTATTCCAACCTTAGCCATTGGTCTTCTTGGTGACCTGAGTTCCCATCTTGGTGGCTCATCTTTCACCCCAGTAAAACGGGAAGAATGATACCAATTGCATTTGTAAAATTCTTTGAGACCTTCTCCTAAGCTAAGTGTCATTATTATTGTAACATTTCACAAGATCTTTCAGAAGTAAGAAACAATAAAATAAAGAATTAAACATAAACTAAAACATGCATATTTATACCAAATACTGCCAGTTATATTAGACAGTAGAATAGCATACAGTGGGATGAATATTCTTTTGGTATATATTCACATTGTGGGGGTCAAAATGTAAATTGACTTGTATTTAAATAAACTATTTTCAAACTAAAATCTCAGGTGAATAATATATTTATAAGCTTAAATATAGAGAAATCAAATGTAAAAAGATGTAATTATATTGGACTCCCAGTAGAAGCCTAAAAAGACAGGAAATTCACAATTAATTCGAAAAAATGCATGAGATTTTTTCTTCAGAGTACTTTGATTTGAATTCGAACTGTCTGTCTTAACTTTGAATTTCCTGGCTTTTCTTAGCTTGTGTCACATTAATATTATTTTTGCTTTATTTATATTTAATAGTTGTATTACTGAGACAATAACTTATTTGTTGTGACATAGTCTAACAGTTTCAGAGAGAGCTTCAAAACTACTTGGTAACTCTCCGTTCTCTATGAGATAATTACTGGCACAAAAGGAAGCATTTCATTGTCTATTCCCAGAAACAGAATAAACCAAAATGATCTATCTTGTTCAGTTTGCTTACCTGTCATTCCCCTCCCCCCAGATCACAACAGTATCAGGAAATGAGTTCCTTCTTCAGTCGGATATTGACTTCATCATATTGGATTGGTTCCACGCTATCAAAAATGCAATTGACAGATTGGTATGTATTTGTTTTGGCTGTTACCTTTATTAATTAAGATGTAGCAATTTAAACTTCATTTGCTTAGGCATCTATACAGGTTTTAGACAGGCAGAAAGCTAGCTAGCTTTAGAGACATTGCTTTAATCTGAAGGATATATAAATATGTATGTATATCTAGTAAAAAATGTCAGATAAACAAGGTTGTTGGACTAAAATGTCATTTGATTCCTGTTTTAAAACAGAATGCTGCATTTATTTCTCTGGAATAACAAGGACATTGGTTTACTGTGGGTTGTAAAAGCATACTAGCACTTAAAAACTAATGCATTTTTACATTTCTGTTTATGCAGCCTACACTATATAATCTTCAATAGAACTATTAATACATTTGAGCCTTTTATGCATTTTCATATTATGTATTCACAAGAATAAGACTAGCAAATAATATTCCTTTGTAACTGATTGCTGTTATTCTCCCAGGAAGACTGGGGTTTCTTCTAAAATTAAGTAGGGCTATATTTTTTTTAAAGAGTTTTTAATTACCCAGCCAGATTCAGCTCAACCTTTTTTCCCCTTCTTGCCATACTCAGTGTTAATTCCAAATTCCATTTTTCTAATTCTGCCTGATACAAGAACAGATTTTCCTCTTTTAGGAAATAGACCCCTCTTGATTGCTATGAAGCCTAGTGAGAAAGTTATTTGTCTTTGCTGCATTCTCTAGGGTTTTTTTTTTCTCCTTGAAATGTAATTGATTACACCTGAAAATGTGGTCTGGCTACACCTGAAAATGTGGCCCCTGCTACACATTATAAATATTATGCAATTAACTGGTGAATTGCACAATAAATGTACTCCAGCCACACATGCAAAGCGAGACTGGTTACAAGTGCAAAGTAATTATTACACAATAAAAACGACTATCCAGCTATAAAAAGAGCCAACCAGCTATAAAATTAGTGCTTGAAAATGTGTACCAGTCTATAGCTGGTTTCTATCTAGCTTTATTTGAATATGATTACAAGGCCCTATGATGCCTTTATTGGGGCTGATTTGAATGTTGATTTGAAAATTGCTTAAAAAAATTACAGAGTGCATCTACACATGTACTTTACTGTAGTTGACTAATTAGCTCTTCAATAAAGTGTCACCATATACACATACTCAGGTATTAGGGTGTAGTAAATGAGTACTTAACTCCACCAAAGCGCACGTGTAGATGCTGACAGAGGCATGAAGGTGCAAAAGTGTGAAAGGCTGCCTGCTGCCTAGCCCTGCACTTTAGCACCCTCTTGTCCCAGCCATCCCCTCCACTGCCCAATGGCACCGCCCAGGGCTGACCCCCTGGACCTCCTTCCAGCCTAGAGCTGCTCTGCCCTGGCTCAACCTGCTGCAGTCTTGGGTGCACATGTAGATACTGTGCCCAGGAGCAGGAGACTCCAGTGCAAATTGTGCTGGAGTTTATTACATCACCTTAGTGGCATGTGTAGATGCACCCACAGGCAACAGAATACTGTACTCGTAGGCTACAATAAGCCAAAGAGGGTTTGATCTGATGTATGTTTTCATATTGCATATTGCATTGGATGAGCATACAGATACTTGATCTCTTTCTGGAGAGTTTCAGAGGAAGTTCAGAAGCTTACTTGCATCATTCAATTAAACTCCATAAATTTGTTTATTATCTTTAACTTGTCTCCCCAAAGGGGAAATTTTGTTTTCAAGTACAGTTACTTTGGTCAGGAATATGGAGTGGGGGAGGGGGGACCACAGTAGAACAGAGTTCAGTAAAGCTGTGCAATTTTTTACCTGTGAAGGGCTTGCCCATACCATTTATACAGGAGAGAATGTCATCAGATCAGTGTGGGGTAACCCCCATAACTTCTAAGATAATGTTTCCCTTTGAGAAGGCTTCTAAGTGATAATGGGTGAAGCAATGGCAATGTCTCCATCTGGTCTGATCATGAGGCCTGTGGGACTGAACATCATCATCTACAGGGGCACTATGCATCTTGTTGCCAGCAGTCTCATTCTGGTTATCTCCTCTGTGGATGAACTGGGGCAGGAAGTGAGCTCTGCATCCTTTCATTCTCTCCATCCCAAAATGCATACAGATCAAATCTAAGCTCAAAGTAGTAGTATTTGAAATTCAGCCTCTGTGCAGGTTGTTGGTCTATATGTCCCATGAGGTCCCTTTCAATCCTAATTCTATATACTTTAATTTTCTAATAGATGAAAACAGGTTTCTTTTCCCTATTAAAGCAAACTTCCTATATGCAATAATTAAAAAACACACAGTGCACACATATAGGGAAATTATTTAAATCACTATGGTAAAAATTTAAGCCTTTTCTTTTCCAATTTACTTTGATATCTGAAATTTATTTGAAAAATTAAACCTAACCATACCATTCATAAAACAGCAGCATTCTATTGAACAAAGTTTGTATTACAGTGTCCTTAAATTATTACATCATCTGGTATAAATGTCTGTCAGGTTCTGATTCTGTGTTAGTTTAATGTAATTTTGCATTGAAGTGCTACATATACATTTATAAAAAAAGGAAAAAATATATATTTCTAGCCAAAAGAGCAGCGTTGTACATCAAGAAACCTGGAGCTGAAACTTAGAAGATCATCTAGCAGTGAATTACTGAGCACCTTTGATACTGAGAGCAAAGAACCAAAAACTGAACACAGAAAATCTTTAAGTAAGTATTATTTAGAACAAAAGAATTATTTGTGTAAGATCATGTCTATTAGATACCGAATGTAACAAAAATGAGAATTAGTATGAAAGCCAAATTTTTCCCTTGTTTTGTATGCATAATTTGCATCTTAGGAAAGTGAAATTTCTACCCCCATGTATCTCAACAGAGACATTGTCTCCTAACCAAAAGAAAGGTCCTGCAGAAGCAAAGACAGTTTTTAAAGGAGTTTATTTTAAGAAGCAAGCAATTCCATTCCAGTGCCAAATTCTGTTGCTGTCAGTTGATTTCTATTTCAGTAAAAAAAACTAATGTTAGTAAAGTAATTTTGTCTGACAGAAGTTTGTGCACTTAAATTTTTACAGAAGAGGCAGGTAACGTGTCAGACAGCCAGAAATCTAGCTATAACTTTATGAAAGAGCTAAATTCCAAAGACTTCATTTTATAAGAGAAAATGTTCTGAGTTTGCTGTTTTGTTTGATATGATACACACCTACTTATTCTAACTCACTTTCAGCTTTAGGCCCACGTACTACAATGCGATGTATAGCTGTGTATGTTTGCATGAATCTGATTCTATATATCTTGTTACAAAATCAAGACCAGAGATATTTAGGTTGTTAGATGCATTAGAAATACTGCAAATAGGTGAATTGATTATTTTTTCTCCTTTGTAAAAGGTTTTAGAGATAGAGATATATAGATACATATAATGAGAATCACATAATATAGGTGAAAAGCAAAATTAGCTTCACACTCATTTTGCCAGCTGTATCCATATTTGCTCCTTCTGCCTTATCCAGTTCAGGAGATGTGCTCAGGTTTTTTCTCTCTTCAATGAAATGTAAAACAGCTTGAATAGTCTTATACTTTTATATTGTGCCTTACATTTTATCTCTCAGCTCAAGTATAATTATGGTCAGCAAATGGTGAAACAGTTTAGGGTCTGATGCTGCTCCCGTTGAAGTTAATGGCAAAATGCCCTTAAACTGTCTCACCACTTTCTGACCTCCCTTTTCATGGTATCATAAGTTTTCTTATATTTTTTTTAACTGTGATTTAGAAGACAGAGCAAAAGAAAGTTATCACTACCAGTGACATAAACTTAGTGTACATTTCTTTTTAAACCTTAGAGAGCTGTGAATAACTTTCTTGTTAGAGGCTATTTAAACTGTTTAAAAAATTGAAAGTATCTGCTGTGAAATCTTATTGAATTGAGGCTTGTATTTAAATAGTGTAGACTGGCTAGCTTCAAAAATATGAATTTGGAATTTTTTATGGCCCCTTGAGATTAAGTAATTATGTGGAATTAGAAAAATCATAGTATTCACTTACTTATTAGTAGTCTAAGCACAAACTATATTGTCAGTTTTCTGCCTTTGGCTTTCTGTGCCCTTAATGTTCACACAAGTATCGTCGCCAGAATTATTGGCAGCTAGAGCCAAAATTGCTTTAAAAAGGCATGAGAACTGGTAATGACACATTGTTAGCAGTTAACAGGTGGTCGTTTCATTGTCCAGTTTGACTGCAGAGCACAGAGAAGATATTTGCAGTATCTGCAAGTGTGTTTATAAAGTTATTATAAAGTTTAAACAGTTTTATCATCTTTCTAGTACTCCCGTGTTATTGGTTACTACAAGCAAAGTCAAGTAAAAAAAAAATAGATGTTTAAAGAATGTTTATATATCACTTAGCCTAACACAAACCAAGACATTGAAAGCTAAGGAAGACTTTCTTTATAGGGAAGAAAGGCAATTGGTGTACATTTAAAGGCCCATGTTACCTCTAGATAATGTTAATAAACTATCCAAATGCAATTCCTATTAAACTATATTTTTCTTCTATACTCTCAAATGTAACAACTCTAAAAAGGACTCAGATATATGGTTCTAGATACTGAAATTTTCTGAGAAAAACTGCTATGCTGAGCTTTAGCCCAAACCATGCTACCAATATATACCTCAGTTCAAGCCTAGAGAGGCTGCTCTCATGAAATGAGTAGTGCATTTTCTGTGCTTCTTTGATGCTTAGTGTTTCTTCTGAGCTTCCAAAAAGTGATAATTATGTTTGACAACCTGACAATGGCTGCTTACCTTCAAATGGGAGAATTCACCCACCCTTCTCTCCTGATAGAAAAACTTACCTGGAGATGCCTGAGCAGACATTTGAATGCTGAGCCCCTGAAGAGCAGAGAGATTGCTGTGCTAATACTGCACAGCCAGGGGGTGCCTGTGCATACATCTCAGCATGCTCTGCAGGCTCCCTCAGTCTGCCTGATGACAGATAGCAGCAGTGCAGAGGGCCATCCTAATTGGCTGACCCAGACTGCTCAATCAGCCTGTCTCTCCCTGCAGCACAATGTGGATTGTGAAGGGGGTATGTTTTGCTCCCTGCTTGGCTGGAGTAATACAGTCCAGCCCAAATGACACACTGCTTTGGAGGAGAGGGTACAGGGGGTTGAAAGCAAAGCATGTGTTTTCAGTACTGCACATTAGGGCAACCTAATGCACACTTATTTAATACCGCACATTAGAGGTACTAAATTTAATGTGCATTAGGAAAAGTGCATTAATACACACGTAGATGTGCCTGAAGTGATTTAACCCTGGTTGTTCCAAGGTTATTTTTCAGCTGGATTGGCAATTTTTTCTCTGGGAGAAAAATCCTGAACATCTATACACTCATAGTTTCTCCTGGGAGAGTAACAACTCTCCCAGAAGAAAATGAATGTTTATATGTGGCCATTCATTCTACTGGAAACAGGACTCAAACCACCAAAGTCAGTTTATACAAGCCAAGAACATCTGCACCTCAGTGATATAGGTTTTCTATCACCACTAACTTGGTTTGTATTCAGTCCAATAAACTAGTAGTTAGATTTCTTCTTAGGCTAATAGTTTGATAAGCTTTTAAACTAAGAACAGAGCAAAGATGGCATTGTTAAACACAATTGTTATAAACCAAAGCCACAGTCCTTCCTTAGGATATGTTGGGGTCCATTACCATTTGCCTTACAAGACCCCTAGTACACATTCATTTAAAAAAGTGATAGGATTTGATCCCCAATCCCAACAATCATGCCTACTGCCAGGCCATATATGCATGTCAGGGCCTTCTTTTTACATTCCACATAAGCATGGCAAGACGTGATTTTAGGATCAGAGATCAGGTCGCAGTGATTGCCAGTTCAGGGAGAATCTGGACTCACACTGCACCAGCAAGTTGCAAGCCAGATGCTCAATATTAGCTGAACCCAAACAGTCCCAGGCCTGGGACTGACAATCAGCTGACTGTCCACATTGGAGTTGGTTCCAGACCCCAGTGCAGTCCTGGGACTCAGACTGACAATCGATTGCAGCATCAGAACTGCACTGAGGCCAGTTTAAGACTCTAGTATGGTCCTGGGGCTGAGACTACCGATCAGCTGAATGTCAATCCTAACCCTGGGAGTGGACCAGTGTTTTAAACAGGCTGTGGTTACCTTGCCACATGTACAATTTAAGGTGCAAAGGAAACCAGGCTGTGGCAGGGCACCTGCAGTGCCTGCCACTTCAAGGTTTCAAGTTGGCAGTGGAGCAGCCAGCAGGTGGGTGCTAGCCTCATCAAAGCTAGCACATGACCCTAGGAGGACCCTGGGATTGGTCTGAGGAGCAGCCTCCATTTTAACCCAGACCCTCAGAAAGAGAAGCAGCAGTCTGAGCTGAGCAGGCAAGGAGGCAACATCAGGCTGAGCTGTTCTTGAAACATCTTGGAGGTAAGGTCAGGAGCTATGGGGATGGTTTGGAGGGTCCTGGTCCTGGCTATGACCTAAAACTGCAACCTGCTGGGGAGGGGAAGGGTGGCCTGGTGGGACTCCCTGTGGTGGGGGAGTCCCCAAGAAATACCAGGCCAGTTACCTCCCTGATGAAAGGTGAGGAAGGGCACCTGAAAACCCCAGCTTCCACCTACAAGTGGGTTACAATACAGGGTGAGAGACCCCAGTGTTAAGTGGCAGCTACCTGAGCCACAGCGGCAGCTACCTGAGCCCCACAGGGTGAAAGACCCCAGTGCAAGGGGCCAGGCATGGTGGCAGCCGCCTGAGCCCCATTAGGTGAAAGACCAGATGTGAGAATCAATATCAGCAAGGCATAGGACACGTGTAACGGAAGGTTGGAGCATTTACCAAGGCCCTTGGCATCAGAAGGGTGAGCAATGGGCAACCTCCCTCCTTAGAAACAACAATCATATTTATTCCATCAAGTCAAGGCAGCCGAGCAAAGCAGAGGTTTAGCCCTGAACAGGAGGGCAGCCAGCACTGAGACCCAACCCTAAAAAGCCACCCTGTTACAGATGCACAAAAATGTTACACATATTTTATGGAATATTTTTATGGTTGATTTCCCCTTTTGTTGTACCATTTATTCCTTGAACATGGAATACTACTTTATTACATATGGTGCAATTAATTGGTCAGTCATGTCTTAATTAGAATGTCTGTCAAGGGCCTTACAGAATCAGCCAGGATACAGCTTTAACTTCCACAACTAGTACTTATGCAAAAAGGGCATCTTTTTGTTGTAAGGAAGGTAAACTGAAGGCCTGTGCCTTTGCTGCAAAAAAGTGAGCTGGCAAGAGCAGCACCCTTTATGTGAAGGGCACTGCTGTTATCCAAGATATTTTTTTGAGTCAATGGGAATATTATATATCAGTATATCATCATTCAGACCTAAAACTCTTCTGCAAAGCTGCCAAGAAGGGTACTAATTACAGCCAATCATAATAGTGCTTTTTGTAGTGCAGACACCTGTTCACCAGTAAATGGTCTTCAACTACCACATTCATTTTTTACAGAGTACTGAACAGGTCATTAGCTAGTAACAAGTTGTAGTCTCAAATTGAAACTGGCGTTACAATAGGTACTCATGGATAGATAATGAAAGGATCTGTAATTTGTTACCAATCCATACAGTCCTTCAATTCTTCAGAAAGCAGAAACTTTTTAATATATGTTGCCAAATAAAATA